TCTTTTTTTATATGCAATTTGACATTATTGTTTTAATGTGACATTGTTTTTCATATGTTGTTCTAACTTGACATTTACTTTTTATTTAACAATTGTTAGTGCTAGGACCGTGCGAGACTTTGCCTCACCATTTCTTTTCTAATTACCCTTTTTCTGACAGTTTGAGTATTTGTGCGACCCACGCAAATGTTCTTTAGGTTGGTATTGTTCGTCGAATCAGTCAGCCTCACCTGTTAATTGAGCTGACTGTAAACCGACACATGCGTACTGCCTTCAGAACGGGTCCGCTCAAACTGTTGTGGTTCTTTCCTCAAAAGCCCACTACAGAAAGAACTGGCACGGTTCTCACACATAATCTGTTATACATATTGTCTGGACTTTAAAAGAGTCAGACTTCTGAGTTTGTTTCGGCATTTCTTCTCAGAGTAGTCAGTTAGGAAATGTCGACCTCATCGTTCGCTTGATAAAATTGACGTGTAAAAGTGCTGCCTTGTAGCCTATTTGCAGAAATAAATTCCCTTGTTTCACTTGTTTCACTTGTTTCACTTGGATGAGAAGAGCTGAAGACCGAGCTCAGTGGCGTGCCATTGGCCATTGGCCTATGTCCAGCAGTGGACGAATACAGGCTGATGATGATGATGGGCAAATCAGATAGTTCGTTGTTCGTTTCTGCGTCTTTGTTTTAAGCTTATTAACACATTAAACGCCGTGGTGGTCTCCGGTTACCAACGTTAGCGGAGGATCGACTCCGGAAGGACTTTACAGTTTTTCATTGGCAGTCAAAGCCTTAAGATATATTTTTGTAACTTGCTCGTTTTATCATTTATAACGATTATTTATTAATAAAGATTATTTGTTTATATGTATATCTCAGAAAGCGATTGAATTCTAGCAGAAAGCCGCTGTACGCAGGTCGCTTCCAGCCTCGCGATGTGTAGTCATTGGGGGAGGACTGTGGGGGGCAGTGGACAGTACGTGGCTGTACGCATGATGATGACAATTTTGATATAAGTCGTCCGCTTCTCATGCATGAACGTGCGGGCTGGAAAACTACCAAAACGGCATTTTGCAAATAAATGATTTGATTTGAACGACAAGTACCAATGTGACTCCGTTTCGCGGAGAAACTAACGGGTCACCGGGGCTCCGGGTCGACGTGCAGGAGTAGGAACGGGGTGGTTTTTAGTCAGTAAGAGCCTGACAGTGAGAAGTCATTCGATGATTTTCCCCACTTAATAAAAAGTACCAATGTGACATTTTCCGAGTTATATGTACTTTCTAAGATCATTTAGACTCCTCTGACAAACGGCGAAGGAAAACATTGTGATGAAACCTGGGCTTATAATTTCTAACTATAAGTTTGAAGTCACCAACGCACATTGAGCAAGCGTGCTGATTAATGCTCAAACCTTCTCCGTGTAAGAAGAGGCCTTTGGTTAGTAGTGACCACTTAGAGGCTATCGATGATAATTGTGTGAGGACAATTAAAAACAAAATTAATTTTCATCATGGATATTTTAATACCCTTCTCTAGTTTATTACAATCAAAAACTAACAATTATTTAATTATTATTGTTAATTATTATTTAATTCATTTATTACTAAGTCACCTCCTAGTTGTAAACTTAACTTAAAACATTAATTTAAAACGAAAATTTTAATACATTTTGTAGCAATTTTGGAAAACAAATATTAAAGACTTCAAAAAGTGTAAAAGCTCTGCATTGGATTTGAACCTCGCTACCATCAGTTGACTGGACAATCTTTACACTACACGAGTCACTGTTTACATGTCAACATTAGCTCATGACGATACCAACGTATGTGTCACTGGACAGTGAACGTCGCTACCATCACTTGACTGGACAGTCTCTACACTACACGAGTCACTGTTTACATGTCAACATTAGCTCATGACGATACCAGCGTACGTGTGTCACTGGACAGTGAAC